CTAATCACTTCTTCCTTTCTTTAATATCGTTATCTCTCATGGTGTAGATCAACTTTTAGTGTTTTTTTATATTCGTATAAATCAAACTCAATATTAAAGGAGTTATATATTTACATATATAAAAATATGTATTATATACTATACATATAAGGAAAAAATAATTACATAAATATGTGTAATATAAATACAATAATTTTGTAAATATAAACTATATAATCCAAGTTGTCAATCAAACAACAAATATTATTTATACAACAAATATTATCTATATAAGAACCATCCTAAAAGGTAGTCATCAAAAAGAACATTCAGCTTTAGTACTATTGAATGACCTCCACTAGATAACTCTATATCTATCTCTAGTTACTCTCACATTATGTATGATCATCACAGCATGAAAATATGCAAGGGTAAGTTAATGTTTTAATGAAATAACATATATGCAACATGCAACATAAAACATCAACAACTTTAATGCATCAACACATCTTAATCTCATCTCCATCACTATCAACATGCATCATCCCCATACAATTAACATATATCAACATAAACAATATAGTTTACTACAATACAATATCAACTCAAACATCATATATTAATAAGTCAATTTGTTTATTATAACAACACAATATTTACAACATAGAAACTATATGTGTTGTCATGTATTTTAATTAGAAGATCTCTTATAACACAAAGTGAGCAGTTTAAGTAGCCTGACCTACCGAATCAACAACACAAGGTGATCTTTTTGGATTTGTTAGATCAACAACAAATTGAATATAAATTCACAACACAACAACTTGGTTTCTTGGATGTTATCACTTAAATAAGGAAGTCTAGGCCTATTGTCAGGGTAAAACAATTAGGTATGAGCATACACGACATTAGCTAGCTTAACTAAGTTTCCTATGAAATTAGTCCATGGACTACCCTCTAAATACTACGCCCTTTGATACTCGATTAGAATTTAAGTTCTTGATTTTGTATTCTATTCGATTGGTCACTTATAATTAGTATAACTCGACTTGCTCTATATACTGTAATCGCTTTATACATGTGTGTCTCAACATTATCCACACATAGTACCAACTAAGTCCTAGAGAAGATTCAACACCAGTCTTAGAGGAGATTCAACATAATTATCCCCTTCAAGAGTTAATTTCTCAAGAAAGATTTTCAACAAATTTGGACTCTTAGAACACCACAACACAATATCCACACAATGAGATATGCAACTTTTTAAAAACCTCCCCTCTAGTTCTAAGTTGGTCATCAGAGCTCAACAACATAGTAACTCCTTACATATTTAAACCAATTACATAACCAGCGCACAACTCTACAACTCACAACACACATATCAACTTACATTCAACTTCTCAATCATCATTCATCTCCAAAACATCATCATATATAGAATAACAACACCTAATTATAGCTTTAAAGAAAGCAACATATACTCACATTTATCTTATGTTCAACAATTCATCAAATAAATCAACACTTTCTCTTCAACATCCAATGCTTGGTACTACTCACATAACGCCTAACATCATTTAGGCAGGGAGCTCTTTGTCTCATCAATGCTCGATGTTATACAACCCATGTCTAGTGTGGCCAAGTCAGAAGGCCCTAAGACCTTGTGCCTAGCGTGACAAGGTACCACACCCAATCTTATTTCAAGTAGAGAGTCCCTACTTAACTCACGCTCAGCTTCACCATACTAGCACTCAAAATCATCGAAGCAAAGAGCTTTGGCTTGGTCACATTGGGCGCCACTCAACCTTGGGCTCGACATCACCAAGCCAGAGACCTTTCAAGGTTCTCACGTCCGACACCACTAAACTATGCTCAGTGCCATGCAATCTAAGATGAGTCTTTTTTCTCACGTGCAATGCCACTGATCTTGCTATGGGCGTGTTCGAGACATATCCTCAAGTTAGAACAATACTCGATGCCTCGAAGGCTCACTTAGCACATATGTAAAACCCGATCTTGAGCTAAAACTTGAAACCCAACAAAGATCTAACACATGCAACATCAAAAACACAATTATACACATCACAATTAACACATGTATGCACTTAGAATCAACATGCAACCACAAATCATAACAAATCATCACATTTCTCATCATGAACCCAAAACCCCAACTCTCACCACAAAACCATTGCGATTATATCAACACAACTCTAAATTTCATAAGAATTCATGCAACATACAACTCATACATCATTTAACAACTTAATAACTCCATTAAGAGCAAGAATCTAGCTTCAATTACCTCAGGATTGGAGAGAACCAGGGAAGGAGAATAAGAAAACTAAAAAATCCACAACTCACCCAATTGATTTTAGCAACTTTTAGACATGAATCCAACAATAACACAACACTAATAATGATCAAGAAAGAAAGAGAAAAGGATTCAAAGTTAAAAGGAACTCACGGACCAGAGCATCTATCTCTAGAATTCTCTCTCTAGAACTTTAAGGAAAAGAGTTTATGAAGTTCTATTTAAAACATAAAAATCTTATATACCCTTCCTTTTAAGGTCTACCCAACGAAATCCTAACACAACTGAAACTCTTAAGGGATTCTTCTAGCCCTGAAACCTCTCAATATTGAATAATAACTCAATTTAACAATATAAAATAAATAAAAGAATTATAACACTCTACAGCTTATAATATTACAATTACAATAACTCACTTTCTTCAACCAATTGAGTTAAATTTCATTGCTTAACTTTTGCAGTTCAAAAAAATATATTCAACTTTTTATTTTTCTCCAAATAGTGAAAAATGAGAAATAATGTGTTTTAAAAACAAAAACTAATCGATTAAAAAAATTGTGTTATCAATTGTTTCTCAGTTTTTCCGCGAGAAACAAATGTACTGTTAGTTAAAATCATTTAAATAAAATTTTAATTAATTGTTTAATTTAATTTTTTTCTCACACTTCTCCCTTTCTTTTTGTTTTTCACCAAACACCGTTATTTTTAAGTTCTTGCTAAAGATATTTTCAAGTGTTAACAAAACTTATGATTGTCATTATTAGTAATAGTATTAAATATTTATTATATGTAACTAAAACTTATATAATATATATATATATATATATAATATATATAAGTTATATTTAAAATTT